CTATAATTTTGGCATATTATCAATTTTGATTATTATGAATATTAAGAAAGAGTCATGTTGTAAGAATACATCTTAAATGCCTATACATTATTTAATATTTTACATGTATTTAATAGGTTATTAAAGAAAGTGGACCACCACATATGAAAAGCTTTGTTACTCGAGTGTCAGTGGGAGAGTTTTCCGCAGAAGGAGAGGGAAATAGCAAAAAACTCTCCAAGAAACGTGCTGCAACCACTGTCCTACAGGAGCTTAAAAAACTTCCACCTCTTCCTGTGGTGGAAAAGCCTAAACTATTTTTTAAAAAACGCCCTAAAACAATAGTAAAGGTAAGTATATGCTTGAGAACATCAGTCAGTTTTATTAAATATGTATTACAGTAGCTATAGATAGAAGTTTTTCTGTAAGGCAGGTTCCTGAACTTATGGATTATATACAGTCCTGGAACCAAGGCAGGATGTGGGACCGTAAATTAGTGACAATTCTGTGTTGCTTTTTAAACATCCGTGTACCTGCTATTGTTCATCAGATAATAATAATGCCTTAGGTATTTATAGTTTCTTATTGTTTAAAAAGTGCTTTTCCATTTCATGTCACCTTTAGTATAATCCTCATAATGCCTGTGTAAGGTAGATGATGCTATCCCTCATTTTACAAATAAGGTTTATAAAACGTGTTTAAAGAATGTGCTCATTTTTATTCAGCTATCGTGTGAAAAAACCTGGACTACTCTGATCTCCAATGTTCTTTCTGCACACAGGCTGCTATATGTTAACAGTAACTTAGGATATAATGAAATGGTAACAGGATATAGAGTAATAATCATAGGAATAATACTAATAATGGTGACAGCAGCAGGTAGAAATTAAAAAGCACTCTATGTGCCAGACTTTATTCCAGCCTTTTACATGCTTTATCACATTTAATCCACATACCAATGCTATTAGGTAGATGTGTTATTTTGTTTCCGTGAATGAACATTCAGTCATACCTTGCCAAAGAAGACTATAGAACGCAGCTTTCCAAAATATTGTGACTCTTTCTTTTATTGGATCAGATTTTATTTACATTAAAAAGAAAAAAAGACCAAGGTCAGAGGAATGAAATGAAGCAGCCTTTAGTACAGGACAGTACCTATGAATGCTTGAAATGTATGGCATATTTGGAACTAAAGTTCCATGTTTTTAGAGAAAGCCTTAAATTGCTAAGATTTCAGTTGCCAGCTTAGCCTCACCTATTTAGCAGACTTAGGTGGTACAAACCAAGAATTACAGATAAGAAGTATATTTAATCTTTGATGAATTTCTTTTGTTTAGATTGTATAATGGCACAATTTAGGTATTTTTATGGGTTTTGTACCTTTGTTTTATTTTAAAAAGTACTTAATAATTACTAATGCATTAATGCTTATAACAATCCTATAGAGCAAGTACAATTTTTTTTTTTTCTTTTTTGAGACAGGGCTTGCTCTGTCACCTGGGCTAGAGTGCAGTGGCATGATCATACTCACTGCAACCTCAAGTGATCCTTGAGCCCAGGAGTTTATACATATATATATATTAATGCTTATAACAATCCTATAGAGCAAGTACAATTTTTTTTTTTTCTTTTTTGAGACAGGGCTTGCTCTGTCTCCCAGGGTAGAGTGCAGTGGTGTCATCATAGCTCACTGCAACCTCAAACTCCTGGCCTCAAGCAGGCTTCTTGCTTCAGCCTCCCGAGTAGCTGGGACTACCGACACATGCCTCCACGCCCAGCTAATTTTTCTGTTTTTTGTAAAGGCAAGGTCTCGGTCTTGCTCGGGCTGGTCTTGAACTCCAGAGCTCAAGTGATCCTCCTGCCTCGGCCTCCCATAGTGTTGGGATTACAGGTGCGAGCCACCACACCCAGCCTCTGCCTCCTTCTTATAAGGATACAAGTGATTGCATTTAGGGCCTGCCTAGGTAATCCAAGATAATCTCCCCATCTCAAAACCTTAATTTACTCACATCTACAAAGATCCTGGCCAGCAAGGACCTATTGAGATCAAACATAAAATGCTTTCTATTCCAGAAATGTAAAAATGTGAAAAATATGGGACTTATGATCAGGGAAATGTATAGTTTAGATTTTTTCATTTTAAACATGAGGAAGATCTATTTTCATTGTCATCTGCAAGAGCTGCTCAAAGGAAAATTGCCCTAATTGTGTATAGGTACAAGCCTGTGTCAGCAAAGTTTATCTTTGGGAAGTGCAGTGAAGGTAATCACTGAGTCACTAATGTCACATGGAAGAGGGGGGAATCGCTCGACACTAAGATGGCTGCGAGTAAAGACAGATCTCTCTTTTCCCCTTTCTACTTTTGGGGATTCACTGCACTTCTAATAGTTGATGGGTTTTTCTGTTAGTATGTATGTTTTTCCTGTGCTTTATTACAATACTCACTTTTCTAATTGTCAGGCCAATTAGCAGATACCAGATCCTGCCACTAATTAATAATAAAGTGTACCAAAAAATTAATTGCTATAAAGACACAAGAATTAATTGTCTTTGTTTTTTGGGGTTCCCATTGTCCCAAGTCATGCCCACCTTTGCCATGACTCTGGTGAGGTGCCTTGCAGGTGGCTCAGCCAGCAGGGAGTAGCCACTCTATTCCTGTGACTGCCCTCAGCCTCGTCGGCTCCCCAGCCCCACACCGGGTTCCCCACCCTCTCCCCAGTCTATCCGACCTAGATCGTAGGTTGTACAAATCTAAGTTACTAGAGTCTGGGCTGAACGCCTTGGATTTCAAACTGGCACTATTTTCACCTTAAACACTTTTATTGAAATATGTTAATATCAGCATTTCATTCCAAGGTCGATTATGTATATTTTTCCAAAATTCTAACGACAGTTGTGTATATACAGTCATATGTCACTTAACTACAGCCACACATTCTGAGAAATATGTCATTAGGCAATTTCGTCATCGTTCAGACATCATGACTTATATAAACCTAGATGGTGCGGCCTACTACATGCCTATTGCTCCTAGGCTACAAATCTACCTGTACAGCACGTAATTGTACTGAATACTATAGGCAGTTGTAACAGTGGTGAGTATTTGTGTATGTAAACATATCTAAACATAGACAAGGTACTGTAAAAATGCAGTATTACTAATATAATCTATGGGACCACCATGGTATATGTGGTCTGTTGTTGACCAAAATGTCATTATGTAGCTCATGACTGTATTCCAAAGTTAGTCATGCATATCTATCTATCTGTAAAGCATGTTGTTGATATCTGAATTCCTCTTGGTCCTTTTAGTTTCTAGGCATTGTTTGCCCTGTGTTGAAGTGGGGATGTGTCTCTCATGTTCCTGATAGTCCCCTCCTGTGTCATCTTCTGTATGTAATTTTTTTTTTTTTTTTGCTAAGTTTATATTTTCTCATTTCCTCTTCATTTTAGAGTTCCTTGCTTCTAGCCATGATTAATCTCTTTGTATCTATTGTGTATAGCAAATCAATTTGGGAATTAAAGACCAGATTTGGTATGTGACTTGTCAATTGTTGATTCTAACTTTAATTTCCTCAAACCTAACCCTGTGATTATGTTTGTTTTGTGTCTCAGAGAATAGTTATTACTAATAATAACAGTGGTTCACATTGTATCCTACTTACATTTTACAAAGCACTTCCACATTATTTTGTTAAAGCTTTACTACAAATCAGATAGAGGTTCTAGGTCCAGGTAACAAGTTAGCAGTAGGATTGGGGCTAGAACCTGAGTCTCGTTATTCCTAGTGCAAGATTTTTGTTTTGTTTTTGTTTTTATTGTACTACTTTGTCCTTTTCACGGATAGTTTTAGAAATTTTTATGTTGATAGCAAATATATTCATGTCTCCTTCTAACTAGACAGTTTTCCTAAGCTATGGTCCTGTTGCCAAATGCTGGATGAAGGCTTTTGAGAACTATGCTAGAAGTCCTAAGGATAAGGGATATTTTGTTAGTCCCTCATAACTTCACTCTTAAGGAGTTTGATTACAGCAATAGCATAGTCTGGCTTTAACCTACAGTTCTGAGTGATGCTAGTCAGTTTGGTTTAAGTACCTATGATATCCCTTCAAATGCCTAGTACTCAGTAGCAGTTCTTAGTCCTTCTGGTTTTGTAAGTTGCTGTCCGCAGTAAGAAAAGGTCCCCTTCTTAGGTCCAAAAAATGTTTACCAAAAATTACTATTGTCGGGGTTGGAACAGGCGAAATAAGCAGTCAGCTCCATTCTTGGCTGCATGGGTGTTTGAGCTTTGTTATGAGTGCAGGGATCTTAACAGGCTTTCTGCTGCAGAAATGCAAACTCTGTCAAAAAGAAATAATCAAGAAGAGATAAGAATCATCAATTTTTTTTCTTTTCTCCAAAGTTTGGGAGCCTCTGGCGGAGCAAGTAACTGGGATTCTTACAGTGACCATTTTACCATTGAAACGTGCAAGGAGACAGATATGCTGAACTACCTCATCGAGTGTTTTGACCGAGTTGGAATAGAGGAGAAAAAAGCACCAAAGGTAATATGAAATAGATTCAGTTTTTTAAAAACCTGGTTATTTGTGTGATAAATAATCCCCCCTTTAGGAGAGAATTATTATTTATTCATTTATTCAATCAGTAAAGTAGTTATTAAGCATCTGCTATGTGCCAAGCACTATATTAGGAACTCACCGAACAAAATAGAGATCCCTGCCCTCATGGCAGGGGTGGTACTCACATCCTAGTGAGGGAAGAAGTGACAGGGCCAAAATGTGAACCCAGGTGGCCTGGCTTCAGAGTCCTCTCTCTTGACTACACTGTAGCTGGGTGTACATGGCCCTGATAATTTCTTTCTTTCTTTTTTTTTTTTTTTGAGATGGAGTCTCGCTTTGTCACCTGGGCTAGAGTGCCATAGCATCAGCCTCGCTCACGGCAACCTCATACTCCTGGGCTCAAGGGATTCTCCTGCCTCAGCCTCCCTAGTAGCTGGGACTACAGGCACACACCACCATGCCCAGCTAATTTTTCTATTTTTAGTAGAGAAGGGGTCTCGCTCTTGCTCGGGCTGGTCTCGAACTCCTGAGCTCAAGCAATCCTCCCACCTCGGCCTCCCAGAGTGCTAGGATTACAGGCGTCAGCCACCGTGCCTGGCCCTGATAATTTGTGACAGTCTTTCATAATTGCTATAATGACCAACATTATGAAGCACCTGTAGACCATCAAGTAATGTGCTAAGTCTACATTAGCTTGTATTCTCACTGATGCCTACTTAGTCCAGTGGAACCCAGTATTGGATAGGTATTCTTTTTCCACTGTGTGAACCAGCAAATGAAACTCGGAGAGATTATAAGTAATTGTCCAGAATCACATAGTAATCACATAGAATCACAAGTAATAAGTTGCAAGGCTGGGTTTAAACTCTCAGCAAGCTACACCTTTTCCCCTATTTTGTGCTGACTGGCTTCATTGTTTTCTCATTTTATTCCTATTTCATTTTCTGGTTCCAGTTTACATTCCAGTTGTTCACTGGTTAGTTTCACATTTGTGAAAGATCTCTTAGAGGCTTGAAAGCAAAGAGAGTGGGCACATTTCCGAGGTTCTTGAGTGGTCCCCTCAAACTTGCACTTCTTTCTTCTCTGACCGTTACTTTCACCGAGGCAGTGTACTTGGACGACACAGTGTACTCGTGTACTTGTTCATTATGAATAAAGGGAGAGAAAAGCACATGCCACTTTATGGCAGTCGATGTGTTTTGACTCTTGTCAGTTTTCAGCAGCATGGGATTATTTTGTTCGTTTCTTATCCTCCTAACTTCCACCTTTCTTTTTCAGATGTGCAGCCAGCCGGCAGTCAGCCAGCTTCTGAGCAACATCCGCTCTCAGTGCATATCCCATACTGCATTAGTACTACAAGGCTCCCTAACGCAGCCGAGGTAAGAAGAACCATTATGTGCTTGATGTTAGAAGGCAGAGGAACCTGCCCATTAGTGGACGTCAGGCTGCCCAGCCATTCTACACCACCTTGGCTAACTACATCCTTCACCTGTAAAATGAAACTGTTTGATTAAATGATCCCTGAGGTCCCTTTCCATATCTAAAATACTATGAAAATAAAACATCCTTTTCTTCCTCATCTTCTAAAGTAGTGCAAAGCATATTTTAAAAAGAAATTAGGACCAGGTGCGGTGGCTCAGGCCTGTAATCCCAGTACTTTGGGAGGCCAAAGCGGGAGGATTGTTTGAGGACAGGAGTTTAAGACTAGCCTGGGCAACATAGCAAGACTGGGTCTCTACAAAAAAATAAGAAAAATTATCTGGGCATGGTAGCACACGCCTGTACAGCCCCAGCTACTCTGGAAGCCCAAGCAAGAGGATTGGTTGAGCCCAGGAATTCGAGGCCGCAGTGAGTTGTGATTGCTCTACTGCACTCCAGCCTGGACAACAGAGTGAGACCCCATCTCTAAAAAAAAAAAAAAAATTAGTTATGTTTTAAGAGTTCTATGTGCTTTTTGAAATAGACTATTGTTGAAATATATAGACATCAAGGCAGAAAATTAGTAATTTAGTTTAAAAGCAACTGCTTTTTGTGTGGATCATCACCTTCGATGTATCACGCAATTTCTGTTCAGTGAATAATAAAGAACAGTAATGGAATAGACAATTTGTGAAATCACCCAGTTTACTACATTATTTATTTGTTTTTGAGAGTTCCATAAAGGTTTCAAGTTTTTAAAAAGGGACTATACTTCATTTCTTTTATGCAAAAAATATCTAAAGAATTTTAGATATTAATTAATTTATTTAGAATGAATAAAGTTACATTTATTTGTTCTTGGCGTTCTTATATTCTGTCCCATAACCATATGTTTTTGAAACTTTTCAAAAAGAAGGAAAATTGTATACATGTACCAAAACTCAAAAAATGTTCTATGGTTAAAATTAATAAGAAATTTTTAAAAGTCTTCAGCCACTACTAATCTTTTTTGCCCCCAATTTGGATGAGGCATAAACAAGTAAGTAAAAGAAACATACAATGTATCGTTTGTTTTAATGCTTCATTTTTAAAGGGCTCTGTGTAGGAAAAGATGGATTCTTTTGAACTTCCTATAGTATCTCATTAAAAATGCCAAAAAGTGATTACTAATGATAAGAAGGGTTATCTTTTGTTTAAAACTATTGTTCAGAATATTTGGGAGATTTCAAGTTTGACTTTGACTGGGGAGTTGTTACTGACATGGTATTTCGTGTGCTTTGTTACATGGTGATAAGGTGATTTCACTGCAGTCCTTGATTTTCGTGGGTCCGCAGGTCCATGCAGCAGCCGTCCTTCCTAGTGCCGTATATGCTGTGTAGGAATCTCCCATATGGCTTCATTCAAGAACTGGTGAGAACTACTCACCAGGATGAAGAAGTGTTCAAGCAGGTATGGTTGTATGAGTTTGTTACTGCAACTTTTCGCCTAAGAGTCTCTATGCTGAGGCTGATTTCTAAACACACTACATGTTGAAAAATTTTGTTTCTGAATTTGAACACGTATGTATTATTTGCCTAGGGAAAAGAGCTACCTGAGATTATTTCTTGAGGAATTAGGATTGACAGCTACGTTGTTTAAATCACTTGTCCATTTCAACTAATTAGTCAAACTAATTAGTCTTTTATTTTTTTTGAGACATTGTCTCATTCTGTCACCTGGGCTAGAGTGCTGTGACGTCAGCCTAGCTCACAGCAACCTCAAACTCCGGGGCTCAAGCAATCCTACTGCCTCAGCATCCCAAGTAGCTGGACTATAGGTGCGCATTACCACGTCCAGCTAATTTTTTCTATCTTTAGTAGAGAAGGCATCTCTCTGTTGTGCAGGCTGGTCTTGAACTCCTGACCTCAGTCGGTCCTCCTGCCACAGCTTCCCAGAGTGCTAAGATTACAGGCATGAGCCACCATGCCTGGCCAAACATTAGTCTTTTAAATAAAGTCTATGCTAAGTGCTTTGGGAGATAAGAAAAAAATATAAGGCCCTGTCCCTGATTTCAAGGAGCTTTTAACAGAGGAACACCAAAAGATAGCATAAGGCATGCTGTGCGTTTGCCAGATGAGTAGTGTTAAAAATTAGTTCTCTAAGTTTATAAGATTAATAAATTAACCCATGGCAGTTTGCATGGCACTTAGAATCTTTGTCTTCTCACCACTAAACTAGGAAAGATGTCTTGTTTCTTACTAATTATTCCATTAAGTATTTATACATTGTTTTGATACTTCATTGTATAAAGTCAAGTGAAAATGAAGATATGTGATATTTAATAATAAAACTGTTTACTTAGTCTGGAAAGTTTCTTCCAAGGTGAAATTTGGCGTTAACATTTTCGTTGCTGTTTTATGGACCTGTTCTGTAAAGTAAGCACTTTGTCTAGAACCTTCACACAGTTGCTTCCCTTAGATGAAAGGATTTTCATAAAATTTTCTTACAGTTTGCTGTATTATCATTTCTTTTTTTATGTGACTAGAGGAATTAACAGGGCAGTAGCTATAATTGGTGTGATTCCTTTTACTCTGTTTTATACCTAATATTTATTCATAACTGTTAATTTTAAGACTTTTTAATTCTCTGGAATTGTATTTTCAGTAGTCTTGAAAATATTCATAAAAAAAGAATCCAAAATTCAAGAATAAAAATTCTAGTTAGTGTTGTGTACTGTATCCGGAATGCATTAACTACTTACCCTAAATGATGGTCTTGTTGACTTACAGGAATACTCAGGCAGCATAGTGAGCTTTTCGTCTTTAGAAAGATAAGTGAACTCTGATGAAAACAAATAACGTCTTGGAAGGTTTAAGTGGTGCAGTATTAATACATTATGCATGTGATGGGTATTAATTAGAATACTTTTCTTATTCTAAAGATGTCATTTGAACATACAGTAGTTTTAACTACATAAGATCAGTCCAGTGATCAGCCAAAAGGGGTATATTATGCCTATTTTATTCATAAACAAACTTAAAACACAGATGTTATGAAATGACCTCTTTGGGTTTTTTAAATTGAGTGAAATTCACATAATATCAAAATCACTATTTTCAGGTGTATAATAACAGTGGCATTTAATGCATTTACATTTAATGCATTTAAATTAAGTGTTGTCTGACCACCACAGACATGTTTAGTTTTAATCCCAGAATTCTGATCCCTTTTCAACCACTCCTTGTCTTTTCTCACGTGCAACCATGTGTTTTTTTCTGGAGAGAGAAGATGAGTGGACTGGAGCTGCTGAGCTGAAAAACAGCATTTTACCTTTTGTCTTAAAAGAGCAGCAAATGTGAATTATTAAATCTTTCACTAAAATTTCTACCTTGTTTTAACATTTGAATGGTGTTCACAGATAAACAGAAATAAATAGCAGCTAGAATTTAGGATTGGAGATGAATATTTGTAGCATTTTTTTAATCCATGCTGGGAGGCATTTATTTTAAAATAAGAGAATTATTTAAAATATGTAGATCACATAAATAATATAATTTGACTATTTGAAACATATGTAGTAAAATTATGTCTAGTTATTACACATTGAGCCCTCCTTGCACAAGTGGATAACTGTACTAGAAAGGGTAAAGGTATTTTACTTATAGCGTTCCTGAAAAAATGCTTAGAAATTTTTTTGAATGACCAATTATAAAATTTATTTTTGGTGATTCCAGAACTTCTGTTTGTCTTTTCTTCTTCTTCTTTTGTTTCTTTTGCTCTGCTGCCTAGGGTAGAGTATAGTGGTGTCATCGTAGCTCACTGCAACCTCAAGCAATCCTGCCTCAGCCTCCCGAGTAGCTGGAACTTCAGGCATGCACCACCACACCCGGCTAATTTTTCTATTTTCTGTAGAGATGAGGTCTTACTGTGTTGCTCAGGCTGGTCTCAAACTCCTGGTCTCAAGCTATCCTCCTTCCTCAGTCCCCGAAAGTGCGAGGCTTACAGCCACTGAGCCTGGCCTGTCTTTTCTTCTTGATTGCAATGTTGACATTTCCTACCCCCACACCCCGAGTATTTTTTCTCCATTTTTAGCTGGTTTGTGAAAGCATATTACTTCCACCCTGATTGTTTGAGTCGCAAAAACTAGAATAAGCTCTTCCAGAGCTGTGTTGATATGTCAAAACACTGCACAGATACTTTGCATTCCATGGTATGTTTGTACTGTGCTCTTTAAATGACTAAGGTGCTCAGTATGATGGGATGAAATTAGTAGGAAAGGGAAGTTTTCAAGTTTCTGTTGGCTTCACTATACTTCCTTTACAACTTGCGATATTCAGATTGTCAGCTGTTGTTTACAACGTCTTCTACTTAATGTTGTCAATCTTGAATCCCAACCAACTCCCTAAATGTTTTGATCAGCGAGTACATTGTGAAATTTGAAGATGAGCTGTGCTGAGTAAACCTTGTATAGTGTTACCCCGTATTAATGGTAAACTTCTATAAAAGTGGATTGTAGTGCTCTTAAGCTCCAATACCAGGTTAGTATATTAATTACACCCTGTGTGGAGGTAAGACATTCTAACTAAAGCTTTCTTTTTCAATTTCACCATTTACCAGCCATCTCTTTGCTCTAACTTAATTAAGTTTAACAACAATATCTTTTGTCGATCTTTTTTCTTGTTTTCCACAAAATAAACAGAAAAAGACTTTTTAAAAGTGTGTTGATAGAGATGAAAAAATATTGGAACATGTAATTGCTTCTACAGATTATAGCTGCTTGGTAATCAAGAATATATTAGTTGCTGAGATGTGCAGAATTTAATTGATTAGAGCAGGGACCCTTGGAGAGTCCTTCGGCAGGCTGCAAATTTGTGGGTTTCTGTTGAATTACTGGGAGTCCTGCCAGAGTATTAGGGTTCACCAAAACCCTCTTATTTCTGGAGAATTCAGCTTCATTACTTTACGGTTAGCCTTGTCAAAGGACAGGTCAACATTCTGGCTGAATTCTAAACTCCAAGCTTTTCCTTAGGGAAAGAGTAGAAATGCCTGAACATTCAGATTCAGCACCTTATTTGACATGCTTCCTACTAGATTTTCTTAAACTTCTATTTCTGGTTTTTTTTTTCTTATAGATCTTTATCCCCATTTTACAAGGCCTGGCTCTTGCTGCCAAAGAGTGCTCCCTTGATAGTGACTACTTCAAATACCCCCTCATGGTAAAACTTTGTTCTTTTTCTTTAACCCATTTGATAGATGTTTTTCTTTTAGATTATTTTAACATACACTTTTCTTTCAGGTCCATGATCAACCTTGTTTTCAAATTTATGAAATCATTGTGTTGGCCATGCAGTGTTTGGTGTGCAGTGAGATGCATCAGTGAAGACAGTTAGCAGCCTGGTACATGTTCCACCTATCCAAGTCCTAGACAGGAGTCAGCGATGCCCTTATTAAAATGTACTTCACCGTATTATATAGCTTATAAAAAACGTAATTATTGGTGGTATCCTTCCAGTTCTCCTAGCAACGAGCATACTATATTTGGGATTAAATTTGTTATTTAAAAGGCAGAGTTATACTAAGAAAAGTAGTACAGTTTTATATGTTGACTTCTGTGCAGAATATCTCAGAGTAACTCTCTTGTTCATCTTCCCTGTTTCCTAATGCCGTACACTTCATCTGCAGGCTTTTCCTGGGAAGCATAGATCGGCTTTGCTCCTTAAGATACTTAGAGCAAGCATAAATTGTAGACAGAATCTTCGGCTAGATTCTCATAGGGGGACTTGGCTGTTGGGAAAACACTGGAACAAGAATGAAAACAAGAGGCTCTTTTCTATACTGGATTTGTTTCTTTGAAATTTTTGAGGAAAAATATTTTGAAGTATTACTGAATATTTTTCATTGTAGAAGTATGAAGGAATAAATTTATGTATAAATACAACCTTGTATAAATTGAGGCTGCGGTTAAATTGATTTTTTTACTGTATTCCTTTCACTCGTACTATTGCTTGATTTCATGATACCATTCCCTCATTACTTACTGAGGATCTGTTCCGTGCTAGGCACTGGGAACATGGGAGCTAGTAAGACAAGGCCCCTCTGCTGCAGGCACTTAGAATCTACTGCAAAAATCAAAACTCCAGCAAAACAAGTTGACAGTGACACTTTGATAAATGCTAAAACAAAGGTGTACACAAAGAGTACATTGATCTATTTTTTAAAAAAAAACTATCATAGCACTAAAAGGCTAAATGTTAAAGATAATGCTGGGACATCAGAAGGTGAAACAGGAATTCCTACTTTTAAAAATAAGTTCAATGGATTTATGTCTAGGCTCTTTCCATTGTGCATGTTATTCAGGTTCCTAATAAAATTCTATTAGTCATTATTCTGCCTGTGGCAGATGAAAGGAAGTAGAACAATCTGATTGTTTGAGTTCAATGATGAAATATTTTAGTGAACACTAATTATCACTGTATTATGTAAATATTTCTTCATGGAATTCTTGGCTTTTTGGTTGTGGTTTGAATTAGCTTGATGTTTCAGTGAGGAGCTTTTAGTGTCAGATATCAACAGAGTGTCCTTTTGCTCACAAGACAAAGGCCTTCATTGTGGTGGACAATAATTTCATTTTGTACCATTATTGATGCTTGTATAATAATGAGGATGCAAGAGAGAGAGTGTAATAACGAAAGGCAGGGAGAGGACACTGTTGGAGCTAAACTCAGAAATAATTATGATCGTTCTCTGGGTCAGTGGATCCTACTGAGCCATACCTTGGAATCACCTGGGGAACTCTAAAAGCTCCTGCCTGGCTCCCAGCCCCAGAAATTGACCTTTAGTTTGTCGGGGCTGTGGGTGTGGCATTGGGTTGTTCAAAACCTTCCCATGTGATCCTGACGTGCAGCCGAGTTTGTGAACTCCTGCTCTGGGCAGTGAGAACTTTTCCTGCTGAGAGTCTGGAGCCTCAGAGCTTCTAAAAGTTGTGTCAATGCCTAAACGCACGACCCACAAGCTTCCTTTGGCTGGCGTAGCAACTTCTAGAGCTGTGTCTAAATCACAGAGAAAATTAAATTCACTGATAAAAATAGCGTTTGATTGCATTATTGTGGCCATGTTGAATTGCGTTTATGCCCCTAAAAACTGTTTTTCATAATTTTCTAATGTGAGAATGATTGGAGCCCTGAAGGAAAGTGTTGGAGTTCCCAAAAGTTCTAGATATCTTGAAACCAAGTTATGCTTCTAATAAATACGTTCTGAATTTGATAGCTTATTAAGTTGTAATTGTTTGTAGTCGTGTTGAGCACTACCAAGGCTAGCCATCTATTTATGAAATAAATCTTTTTGACATGGAAAGATGCAAAGTGAAAAACATGTTTTTTATAAAAACATATACTATATGTATATGTATGTACACACAGTACACAAAAATATATGTGGAAAACTGTTAATCATAATATCAATAGGGTTTATTTCTGAGTATAAAGTTTGAATGATTTTTTTAGTTTCAGTTTGTATTTATTTTATTTCAAGTTTTTAAAAATGTGTGTGTATTAGTTTATTAATCAGAAAAAAGTAGTACAGCTGTCTGTTACTATTTTAGAGGGAATGCATGTGTACTTATAGCAGCAGATAAAGCTATTCCTTGATGTTACACATGACAGTCAGTTTAAGATGAAATACATTTAAGTGACTCTTTCTGATCTTATTTCTAGGCACTGGGTGAGCTCTGTGAAACCAAGTTTGGGAAGACACACCCTGTATGCAATTTGGTAAGCACCTCCCTGATTGGCCTGCACATTTTCAGTGAATATATTAATATCATAACCCAGAAGATGTTCCTTAAGTAACATTATCTGAAAAACTTTTCTTGAAGGACATTTAGATGTAGATGGAGGTAACATGTCTGGGAGTCTCTCACCTGTTAAATTGTTGTCATTCACGTTATTTCCTGCAATGAAGTTGTTGACTTCTGTGAGTGTGTGTGTGTGTGTGTGTGTGTGTGTGTGTGTGTGTTTAAGGATTATACAGCTGGAATAACAGGTCCTATGGGGAAATTTTACTTAAGTCCTTCGGAAGTATAATAGTTTATTTGAACTCCATTCTAGAGTATTTTTGAAACATAAAAATTCAATGTCTTGTAAAAACGTAGAGGAGTCAGAGGGTTTTCTTCCACCTGAGGTGAGAAAATAACAGCAGGATTCCTAATGTATTGTGTACCTGTGTTTTTATATGTTAAGTGTCAGCCATTGTGCTGGCAGCCAAGAACCGCCTGAGCAGGGCTGCTGTTGAGAACTCTGTTCATTATACGTTTAACTAGTTTGCCTGTTTAGCAGCTTGACTGGCCTCCTCCATTTATTTACCTAGGTTGCTTCTTTGCCATTGTGGTTGCCGAAATCCTTAAGCCCTGGCTCTGGGCGGGAGCTACAGAGACTCTCTTACTTGGGAGCTTTCTTTAGCTTCTCAGTCTTTGCAGAAGATGATGTAAGTATAGTGGCCATTTGCACTTTGCTGCTCTTTTGTTCAGATTCCTTCCCAAATGTACATTATATGTTGATCGAGTTTTTTCCTTCTCTTTCCAGGCTAAAGTGGTCGAAAAATATTTTTCAGGGCCTGCCATTACCCTGGAAAACACTCGTGTTGTTAGCCAGTCACTACAGCATTACTTAGAGCTTGGAAGGGTAGGTGTTCAGAAAACAAATCCAAAGGATTACTAAAAGATCAGCTATAGATAGGGAGCTCTTTCTGCTTTGCAAATGGGATGCTGCCTGATTCATGAATGCCTAATAAAGGCCAATGAAGATCTTTTGAAAAAGAAAGATTAGCTGTATATAAGTAACCTGTGTCTTAAATAATAACAGCAACAACAATACTAAGATGCCCTTTTTATGTAGCATCACTGGGGGCTGGTCCTAAGTTTAGTGGCCGTGTTCTTTCTCCAGCTTCCCCTTAAGTGTTTAAATTGTGAGGGTAAACGAGGGCTATTACGTTCTTCCTACCCCTTGCTGACTCACGTATCCCAAATGAAGATTAATATGTCTTCAGTTCTGAAACTTAAAAGCAGAGAAATTATAGGCTTGGGTAATTAAGACAATTTCTATATGGAAAGGAAGTAACAAAGGCTATTTTGTTAAAACTCTTAATGACTTACCTCCTCTACTCCATATTCTGCTTTCATGCAATTGTATTGACACAGTTGAATGTGGACATTTCTTATATTCCTCTTGTGATAAACAGGGTGTTGCCTGATTCATGAATGGCTAATAAAAGCCAATTAAGATCTTTTTAACAAAATGATATGAGTGAAAGTGGGAAAGGAGAGAAAGTGGGAAGTAGGCCTGCTGTTCTTAAAGTCCAAAAGGAATAATGTTCAAAATGAAGTTTTAATTTCTTTCTTTTTAAAATAAATTTCAGCAAGAGCTCTTTAAGATTCTACATAGTATTTTGTTAAATGGTGAAACCCGTGAGGCTGCTCTTGGCTACATGGCAGCTGTCGTCAATGCCAACGTGAAGAAAGCTCAGATGCAGGTAGGGTCCCCAAAGATGGCTTTTCATTGAATTCATCCATCTCACCCAAGTGTATTCAGTACCTACCAGGCATTGTTCTAGGAATTGCGGCACAGTATTGAACAAGATAGAACAGCTTCCTGCTTTTGTGGAGCATATGTTCTATAGGGTGAGTAGACATACGAATGTATCATTTCAGACAGTAATAAAATCTACGAAGAAAATAAAGCAAAGCAAAGGACTTGAGAGTAACTGTGTAAGTACCAGGAGGAAGGTATGGGGGTGATTCTTGATAGGGTAGCAGGGAAGGCCTCTCTGAGGACATCACATTTGATCAGAGACCTGGTGAGAAAGAGCCAGCTATTGCAATGCTGAAAAAAGCACTTTCTAGATGTGTGTAAGGCACTAAGGTGGAAATGAGCCAGCTTTGGTACAAGCCCAACACACAGGCCTTTGCTGCTGGAGGAGAGTGAACGGGCAAGAATGGCTGGGCCTGGGGTTAGAGGGTGGGCAGGGGCCCCATCAGGTTAGGTTTACTGTAACGGGAAGTCATTGGAGGGTTTCTGGCCAGGAAGCCACAAAAGCTGCTGTGTGGGGGATGGACTAAAGCAGGGGGGAGGTCAGGAGCAGACCCAAGGAGGCCAGTTACAAGGCCATGGGTACATCAGTCCAGGAGAGAGATGGCTGAGGCTACTTTGCCAGAGTAGAAAAGTTAAAAGGGCATCCTTCCTTGATTATTAATAAATAATGAATGAATGATGTGACACTTCTACCCAGAATCAGAGAAAAAAAAATGTGTAGAGAAGACCCGCTGACTCATGGTTCCACCATATACTAAGAGTGGAACCTTATACATTTACTTCCTGTGCTTCAGTTTCCTTATCTGCTAAATGGGGATAATGATAGTGTCTACCTTATGGATTTATTATATATAAAGTTGTTAGAATGGAATAGTGCCTAGTACCTAGTGATTATTCAACCAGTGTTAACTATCAATCTTATAACTGTTATATTATTAATGTAGGACTATGCTAATGCTATCAGCTAGAAAAACAATGTCAAGTGATAAAAAGTAGAACTAGTTCTGATGTTCTTGAGGGAAAATAAAGAAGAGAAAGAGGCCAGGTGCAGTAGCTCACACCTGTAATCTGAGCCCTCTGGGAGGCCGAGGCTGGAGATTCGCTTGAAATAAGGAGTTTGAGACCAACCTGAGCAAGAATGAGACCCTGTCTCTGCCAAAAATAGAAAAAAATAGCCAGGTGTTTTGGTGCGCACTTGTAGTCCTAGCTACTTGGGAGGCTGAGGCAGGAGGATTGCTTGAGCCCAGGAATTTGAGGTTGCAGTGAGCTATGATGAAGTCAGTGCACTCCAGCCAGGGCAACAGAGTGAGACTCTGTCTCAAAAAAGAAGACGAGAAAGGATGCAAAACTTACTGTGTTTCTACTTACTAATTTGGGCAAATCAGTTAAATTCACTGGGCTTTAGATTCCTCGTCTATAAAATATCAGTAGCAGCGTTACTGATCTCTAAGGGTTACTGTGAAGATTCAGTGAGAAAATGTATAAAATGTGTCACATATAATTAATACTCAACAAATAGCGCCTGCTAATTGAATGACAATGGTGACAATATATATGACTTCTCATTGACTTTAGGGTATGGTCATGTTTGAAGGTTCAGTCTGCTTTCATAAAAAGTTATTCAAATTGTTATTTTAAATCTTTTTCTTTTCATACTTTGCAGACAGATGATAGATTGGTATCTACAGATGGATTTATGCTGAATTTCCTTTGGGTACTACAGCAGTTAAGTACAAAAATCAAGCTAGAAACGGTTGATCCCACGTATATATTTCACCCAAGATGTCGGATCACTCTTCCAAATGATGAGACGCGCGTGAATGCGACGATGGAGGATGTGAACGACTGGCTGACTGAACTCTGTGAGTAACGTGTTCTCTGTGAGGCCTTTAGAACACTGCCCTTTTATCTGGATGCTCGCGATTGCCTCACAGATTATTGCTTCTCCATAAGATGAATTTATGAGATAGA